GTAGATGCGTCAATCCACACTCTAAAAACGTGACGAGGACATGAGAGTGAGAGACAGAAAGAGAAATTTCGGAAGTTCTAATTCCTCTTTGTATATGTTTCGGTTTCCTCCTGTCATTGCTTTTCGTTTATGTTTTTTGTCTTTCGATGCCCTTCTCCTATTTTCTTTTTCTTCAGCGTTTGGCGGTCAATGACGGGTCTTTGATGAACATTTGTTGCGAACCGACGGTATCGGGATGATGACGTGGCAAACAGCGACGACTCGGAACTTTACTAACGTTCATGTTGCGGAAATAAGCAGGGGCCCGGGAAGGGAGAGGTGGGAGGGCGCGGGCCGTGGGCAGTGCCCTCCTCTTCGTACGTCCTCGTCAACACGATGTCCGAATACGTCATACCACCACCGTGGATGCCACGTGGCATGCCCAGGGGCTGTGGTTAGTTGGAGGACAGAACAAGGGAGATTTTGCCAGGGCCGGGGAGAGGAGTCGTCCGTGCTGTCAAATGAGACAACGACGGCAGCAGTGGCAGGTACGAGGGGAAAACGTACAAAGCACATTGTTGGTCATGCTGTTTTTCGCAGCAGGGGGACACGTGGCAGTGTTTTGCAGCAACCGACGCTGGTACTCGGGAAGGAACGGCTGCGAGGGGAGGCTGTGCCGCCTTCGTCTTTGTGTGAAATGGCAACTGAGTTGGGGGCCAAGGCTGTGATCCTGGTGAAGTGGGATGGACGAGGTTGGAGCGGACTGAAAGCAACAAGTGGCAGCAGAAGCAGGCCCATTGGCGGCGGCGGCCTCGTGATGCCTTCGGCGGTTGCCTCCTCTTCTTCTTTGGACCAAGGATCATCGGTCTCTGTCCTCGTTGGGAAGCAGCAGTCGTCTTCGTCATCATCGCTGTCATCACCAGTAGTCAAGCCAATAAGACAAGGAGCATCCATGACGAGCACGTTGAGTACAGGTGGAGGAAGAGAGTGGAGCGGAGGCGGCGAGGGGGATGTAACGATGAAGAAGATCGACAGTGGAAAGGAATCGCCACATGCCAGGACAGTGTCTCAGGCAGAAAGGCGGCAAATAGCGACGATTCACGCGCCGGCAGAGACGCGTGCGCGGATGTCGTTGGCGGAGTTATCCAGAAACGACCAGGCGTTCCTATACTTAGGGTTTATTGCTTGTGTGACAAGTGGCGCCTTGTCAGCGATGCTGTTTGCGGCAATTCCAACTTTATTAGCGATGAAGAAGGCAGCAGAGGCAATGGAGAAGTTAGCAGACACAGCAAGGGAGGAATTGCCAGGAACTATGGCGGCCATCAGATTATCAGGAATGGAGATAAGCGATCTGACGATGGAACTTAGCGACTTAAGCCAGGAAATAGGCGATGGGGTGCGGAGTTCCGCGCGGGCAGTACAAGCGGCGGAAGACGGGTTGAAACGGGTGGGGAGCTACGCTTCTGCTCAAACGATTGCGCTGCTGCAGGAGCGGGCAAGCATTCCCGTCACAGCCGTCAAGCCGGCGGCGGCGCGGGCGGCGGACAACACACGGCAAGCGATCATGCAGGCGCGGAAGGCAGTGCAAGATCTGGCCACCGTTCGTCGATTGACAGGATGGCTGGCGAATCGGAGGGGCGGGGATGAAGGGAAAGGGATGGGAGGAGGAGGTGGTGGTGGGGCAGGGAGTGGCACAGCTGTAGCATCGTCGGCAGCAGGGAAGGGGGCGGATTTTTCTGCGGAGGAGAGTAGTGAGACTGCCGCAGGGACTAATAATAATAGGTCGTCGTCTCATAAGCATCAGCATCATCAGCAACCGCAGCAGCAGATGAAGGATGGGAGCACGGATCGACCTCCCAACGGAAAAGACTCGGTGGCAAAGTGAACAATGGAGATGTAATTTCAGAAAGGTACATAAAAGTGGAGAATCGAAATATGGGAAAGGCGAGAAAAGCACAGAGAATGTGGAAACGGAAAACAAACCATGATGTGGTGGATGTTTCTACTTCAGCTTTCCAAATCCGATGGAACGGGCAATGGTTGCACAGGTGTCTTTTCCAATTTGATTGGAAGTTTCCATAAAAGTGTGATGCTTAGGGGAGTCCGGGGGGTGGGGCACCCCACAGACACACACAGAGAGAGAGAGAGAGAGAGAGAGAGAGAGAGAGAGAGAGAGAGAGAGAGAGAGAGAGAGAGAGAGTAGCGTGTGTGTGTGTGTGTGTGTGTGTGTGAGAGAGAGAGAGAGAGAGAGAGAGAGAGAGAGAGAGAGAGAGAGAGATGCAGTTGCGACATGAGCATGGAGAAAACCTTGAGAGAGGGACTATNGAGAGAGAGAGAGAGAGAGAGAGAGAGAGAGAGAGAGAGAGAGAGAGAGAGAGAGAGAGAGAGAGAGAGAGAGAGAGAGAGAGAGAGAGCTGGAGATCATTAAGGCAGGAGGAAGGGGAGAGCACTGTATTATATGAAAGGAGAGTCCGGTTGTTGACCTCATCAACGTATAGGAAAGGTGTGCTCATTTCCTTTGCATCAGTGGCCATCGGCTGGAACAGTGAACCGAGGACTTGGTGCTGGTTCCAGTCATTGATTACTTGATTGAATGATCTAGTTGACTGATTGATCGAGCGTGTGAGTTTGGTTGATTGGTTTCAATCCATTGACCGGTCGATTGGCATGTGTGTTTGGGGAGAGGGCTGGAGGGCATGACAAACGATGGAGTAGTGGAATCGGGGATCTAGGGGAGTAGTATGCCGACCAGTGAAGGGGTGGAGGTAAGGGGGAAGAAGGAGCAGTTGTATAGACAGGTGGATGGATAGGTGGACGGACAGCGAGATGCAACTTGGGAGGATTACGTGGTGATACTGTTGGGTGAAAGCGAAGCAGAGGTTAAAGCATCACAGCGGCAAAGACTGAACTCTTGGTTTTTGAATGGCAACAGTGTGCTCAGTGATAATGTTCTTGGCAGTAACCTCGAGCTCAGTAGGGGTCCACCCCTATGCAATATGGGGTTGGCTGTACTTAAACCACTAGTACCTCTGAACCTCTTTTTTCCAACGCGCAATTTCGCCTTGCCTAAATATGGAACTACGGTTCATGCATCAGCAACTAGTTATAACTGGGGTATGTATCAGGGGGCCGGGGGGTGCGGGGAAATAAGTTCTTGCATTAAATGAGGTTTGACCTTTTTTTTTTTTTTTTAAACGCGACTGCCTGGAGATATCCATTGTCAAAGTGAATGGCCCCAGGCAATTCAGAATTATTCGATTGTGTTCATCTAGTTCATCTGGATTCGAACTCAGGTCTGTATTTTAACAATTCATGGGCGTATCAATTGAGCTATCCTCAACAGACTTATGTGTGTATTATTAAGACTAGCTTAGCGCCCGCAGTGCGGGCGATGCGGGCTACGCCAGCGTTAAAAAACACAGCAAAGATCAGTTTAAATTTAAGTACACACGCAGACTCAAATGGACATGTAGAGCAGAACATGTACTCAAAACAGCTCGAACTAACTCAAACAGGCTGTTTTGAGAACATGTTGAGTATATGGTCTCTGCACGTGGCAAAATGGGAGGTTGGGAGAGACATGTGGCACAAGAGAGGAAGGGTAAAAAACACTGCTGCCATAGCCGGCGGAAACTGAGGTCGCATCGTTAGCTTATCCAAAAGATGAAGAGGAGCAGGAGCAAAACCCAACGTTCATGCGCATTTCTTAAACAAAAACAATATATTCTAACAAATACTTGAGAATATATATTCTTCTTTTTATTTTTTCAAATTGCGGCACCCCCCTTACCCTGTCGGACTGGGATCCATGTCTTGCTTCAGCATACGGAATACCTCAGCAACTACTTTCATGAAAAGAAAAATACATATATTGTTTATGGATTGCGAAACGCTATGTTCATGTGCATTTCCTAAAACCAAAACAACAAATTCTATCAAATACTTGAGAACGTGCATTTTTTTCTTGTTTTTTCCGGCTCACGGATTGAAAAAATGAAAAGGTCAAGGCTTAGGTCTGGTTCTATGATTGGGCCTTGCGCCTGAATCTTGGGCATGGTGGTTTCCAATAAGTGCCAAAAAAAAACAAGAAGATGCATGGGCTTGAATCCTGAACGAGGGCCTTGGCGTGGGTATGGGCCTGTGTCTTGGACCTGCAAATTTGGCAGGGCTCTGGGTTTTACGAAGGAGCGTTTCTTCCATGAGAATCTTTCTCGGTTCGTGGGAAGATTCATTCCTTTTGCATGGAAAGAAATGCGCCGGGAGGGGGACACAAACACGTGCACTCTCAGAGAGAGAGAGAGAGAGAGAGAGAGAGAGAGATTTGTCGCGGGGTGCAATGCGCGCCATATTTTTCTCTCTCTCTCTCTCTCTCTCTCTCTCTCTCTCTCTCTCTCTCTCTCTCTCTCTCTCTCTCTCTCTAGTGCGAGAGAGCGCGCGCACGCGTTTATGAATGTTACAATGAGAGGAAGATTCTCTCTCTCTCTCTCTCTCTCTCTCTCTCTCTCTCTCTCTCTCTCTCTCTCTCTCGCGCGCGCGCGCGCGCGCGCGTGCGCGAGTTCGTGACCATTGTAATGAGAATGATTTTTTTGCAACACAACAAGATTCATTCTTCTCTGTGATAGACTGCCATCCCGAGCGGTCCGTCAAGATCAATATGAAGGGATGAGGATGGGGGAGATGGAGATGGAGTTGGAAAGGACAGCGCAACTCCAACGCAGATTCGAAATGCATGAACTCCAAACTGTACAAGTGAAGCCTGACTGAAACAGTCTGCAGTTGGGGTATACCCCAAGGGGACTGATTGGACTGGATTGGACTGGCGTGGTACCGACAGTGGTACTGGGCAGGACTGGACTGGACTCGATGAGCACATGGCCTGGTCCCACGGGTTGAACAGGCAAAATAGCCAGAAATCCCTTGACTCTAGGCCAAGGCAGCTGGAGGCACGTTGCACGATCAACAAACCTGTATTGGATCGCGAGTGTCATAAACACGCCTTTGCAAAAGCAGCGGAACTCAGCAAACAATAATACTGAGAATCTAGGATGCGGAGCAAGCTCCATACGGACTTTCGCGCGATGCAGCGTAAGCTACATAATGTCATAGCAAAATGATATATCTGTTTTTCACATCCTAGCTAACAACAGGAAATTAAATGTAGTAGGGTACAACTCTGAAGTCCTAGAGGCAATTACCTCAGTGTTGAAAGGAAAGGATAACAACATGTGGTACGATAATGTCATGTCGCTGAACCACTAAGAGTGGGATGGTCTCAGGAGGGGGTGAATGCAGCCTAAGAATAGAAACTCCTAAGGGCAGTCAAACAGAATATGGGATGGGTCATCAGGCTTAGGGCGAAGGAATGGTAGCGAAACAAAACCAATGACCCTAACAAATAGACCATCAAGGCGGGTAATGCTCGACAAAAGGGTGACACCATGCAGTGCCGACAATGAAAGGGGAGTTTGGTACAGGGTGGAGATATGTAACTGAAGGCATGCAATGATAAGCACTAGGGTGATAAGGGTAGTGGGTGAGGGAAAAATCCACACAACTCACCGATTATGGAGGAAGCCAAATTTGGGAGTAGGGGAGCTAAGATAATGTTACGGTCCCAATGCCTATGGGATATCATATATTGTGATATCCCTGTGGCTGGCGAAAGGGCGTGGTTGTACGCAATCTCCGTGTGGGCTAAGTGTAAGTCTCACTGCTGGTCATCCCTAATAAACTTTCGGATGATATTGCCGAGAGTTTTTATTGGTGACCTCAGTCTGACCATCCGTCTGAGCGTGGTACGACTACGAAAAGCAGAGTTGAGATTTGTACACCTCGTCAGAATGTGTTAGTAAAGCGCGGGTCACGGTCGGAGATGATGCTCTGAGGTAAGCCACGATCTCTCATGACTCGGTCGAAGACGATGTTGGTGACCTCACGAGCACTAATGCGAAAGCGACATGGGACAAAATGTGCACGCTTCGTGAAGCGATTGATGACGACCAAGATAGCATCATGACCGCGCTCAGTGGGAGGGCGGAGGGGACCAACAAAATCCATCGAGATGGACTGCCAACCACCCTCAAGTATGAGTAGAGGTTGAAGTAACTCGTACGGAAGGTGGTTCACACTGTTCACCTCCTGGCAAGTAGAACACTGTTGAACGTAAGCTTTGACGAAGGCCTTGGACTTGGGCCAACCATATAGGCAGCAAACACGGGCCAACGTTTTGTGGAAGTTCATATGACTGACAACTGTCTGGTCATGGAACTTTGTTACGGCATGGACCGCGAAGCTGTCAAGTGGAAGGAATGCATATACGGTGTTTGAGCTGACCAGATCTATCATGCCAATATATTAGACCGTTCTCACCGAGAGAGTATGAAGGAATGGTCTTGCCACTCCGCAGTGTCAAGTGTGAATGTCGCGATAATCCAAAGAGTGGCGGTACTAAGTGCGATATACATCGATCACCAATTGATCAACGGTGATGATCGAGATGGCAGCAAGGTGGATGGGTTCCTGATTGTGGTCAGGGCAGAGGGACAAGGCATCAAGAATGTGGTTCGTTTCACACTTGATACGTTGAGCGGTGAAACTGAACTCGGATAAATCACGCCACCAGCGTGCGTGTAGAGGGGAACGTTTGGTCTTCGTGAGGAAAGTCTGGACAAACAAGTTGTCTGTGCGGACGCCCCATGCAAATAATGGCAACAGTGTCGGGTAGCATAAATTACAGCGAGAACTTCATGTTCATCGGCAGTGTAGTTTATCTCGGTAGACAGTAGCTGATAGGAGTAGAAGGCGATCGGGCAATCCCAACACGGACCTCGACAGTCCCATCCTCCATCATGGTCGGGGAGTAAGTGATGGGATTACTGTTAGTAGAGATTAGTGGTGGAAGGATAGGCGTCAGTCGAGAAGCAGTGTCAGTAAGATTGGGGGGGAAGTAGGGAACATGGGGATACGGGGAATGAGGAGGAGTGAGAAACATTTGAAAAAGTGTTTGAGCAAAATCTGACACATCGGTGGTATCTATGAAAGGACGATCAAAATCGGGGAGGCGAAGAGCGGACGCACAAGTCACTATTTTTTTTAGGGCACGAAAAGTATCATCGTAGAGAGTGGAGGTTAGGACGTAGGTCCCCTGATGAAGTTACTATAGTAACTAATAAGGCCTAGGAGAATACGAAAATGCTTGACGGATTTGGGGACGGACCACTCCGCGATAGCAGTGATCTTCACGTCGTCCATGTGGAGACCCTGGTCAGACACATGGTGTCTTAAAAAATTCACTTTGCGTTGGACAAAGCGACACTTACTTAGTTTGGCATAGAAGTCATGCTTCCGTAAACTGTGTGTCCGATTTTGAATTCAACGCGCGTTCCGCGTTGAATTCGCGTTAAACTCTCGTTCAAATGCGCATTGCACGCGAATTAACGGGGTCCGCGATGGTTTTTTTTCCTAGGCTAAAAATTATCCAAAAATAAAATAAAAAATATGAAGGTGTAGGTGTTTTTAAGGATTACAGCCTTCTATTTTTATTTTTATTTTTTGAGCTTTGAATACATTTAAAAAAAATCAAAAACATAAGCACACTAAAAAAAACAAAAACAAGAAATGACGTGAGTCGTTTTTTTTAGGTTTCACAGAGATTTTTTTAAGGGCTAAAACAAAAAAATATATATATAGGGTTGTAGATCTTTCAAAGATGTACAACAATATATATATATATATTTTTTAACTTCGTGTATTTTTAAAAAAATCAAAACCATAAACAACATATTATTTGGCCTACATTGCTTAGGTAATCCTGCTGGGTAGACTCCCTGATTTGGGCCTGTAAAAGATTGCATAAGCCTGGAGCATGGTCCCATTAGCAGTCCGATAGGAGTGTGGCCTATCCAGTGTGACACTAAGTGGCAGCGGGCTGACAGGTTCATTACGAATTTATGGGCTGAGAAAAGAGGAGAAAAGCAGAAGAAGAAAAAAAAAAAAAACGAGACCTGCCACTGGAAATCACGGCAGAGTGCTTCCCAGCCATGATCTGATGGTGGTGGTTGCAACAACAATAAGCAAAGTAACTGCCACATTTTCGGGTCAATCGGAACAAAGTAACTGCCACATTTTCGGGCAAAAAAAAAACAACAGATTCCTGCCACATGCAAA